ACTCCAGGTATCTGTGATACTTATTGATACTTCTGTGATACTTATTGCCCTTATGATATGAAGATGGTCACATAATCCTGTCACGTTGTCCCAAAGATGCCATTATGATATTAAGATGGTCACATAATCCTGTCACATTGTCCCAAACATGCCATTATGATATGAAGATGATCACATACCTCTGTCACCTTGTCCCAAACATGCTATTATGCTATTATGATATGAAGATTATCACATAATCCTGTCACATTGTCCCAAACATGCCATTATGATATGAAGATGGTCACAAAATCCTGTCACATTGTCCCAAACATGCCATTATGATATGAAGATGATCACATAATCCTGTCACATTGTCCCAAACATGCCATTATGATATGAAGATGATCACATAATCCTGTCGCATTGTCCCAAACATGCCATTAGGATATGAAGATGATCACATTGTCCCAAACATGCCATTATGATATGAAGATGATCACATAATCCTGTCACATTGTCTCAAACATGCCATTAGGATATGAAGATGGTCACATAATCCTGTCACATTGTCCCAAACATGCTATGTGGTTTATGTGACAACAATAAACAAAGTATGTACTGTGTAGCACTTACACTTTATGCATAAGATCATTCATTGATATGATTCAAATTATTTGATTGATAATTTTATTCCACCACTAGCAACATGCATGTATTCAGTGTATTCCACTACTAGCAACATACATGTATTCAGCGTATTCCACTGCTAGCAACATACATGTATTCAGTGTATTCCACTACTAGCAACATACATGTATTCAGCGTATTCCACTACTAGCAACATAAATGTATTCAGTGTATTCCACTACTAGCAACATACATGTATTCAGTGTATTCCACTACGAGCAACATACATGTATTATGTGTATTCTACTGCTAGCAACATACATGTATTATGTGTATTCTACTGCTAGCAACATACATGTATTCAGTGTATTCCACTGCTAGCAACATATGTATTCAGTGTATTCTACTGCTAGCAACATACATGTATTTAGTGTATTCCACTACTAGCAACATACATGTATTATGTGTATTCCACTACTAGCAACATACATGTATTCTACTGCTAGCAACATACATGTATTCAGTGTATTCCACTGCTAGCAACATACATGTATTCAGTGTATTCCACTACTAGAAACATACATGTATTATGTGTATTCTACTGCTAGCAACATACATGTATTCAGTGTATTCCACTGCTAGCAACATATGTATTCAGTGTATTCTACTGCTAGCAACATACATGTATTTAGTGTATT